TCCGCGGCACCTGATGATTGCAACATTTCTGGCTACTATCGTGCAAGTCGATAGATCTCGCCGAAAATCCCGTATCAATGACGAACTTGAAATGAAAGAAGGGAGGGAAAAGGCGCGGGAATAAGATGCACCCATAAACAACGGAAATTCGATACATTTATTGCTCCGCGTACAAATCTCAGTTTCGATCTGTACCGTAATGATATATTTGTCTGGAGCTAATAGCTGATACATTTCCGCGGCTATTTCGGACGCGATGTACGCATATACGCGTCATCCGTGTACGAATTGCCGTGTCAAGAGATAAGAAAAGCGTATAACGAAAGAAAGAGTGGTCAATATTAGTCAACGCGTGTAATTGCGTACGATATAATGAGCTCGTGTTTGATAAATCATTATCATAATTCCTGAATTTCGCGATAAGCTTTTTTTATATTTTTTGTATTGTCGTAAAATAATGAATTTTTCTTCTATTTCACATTTGTATTCAGAATCTATTGATAAATACGCTGTAATGAAATAATTATCTCAGAATTTTTTAATTTGATGTAATTTTACGGAAAAAGTATCTCCTTAACGGTATTTTTATTAGGATCAAATAATCGTAATTTAAAAAAATAACATTTAATAAAATAAACGCGCAGATAGGCGGCAAGATAACGAAATCGTTTGCGGCTTCTCGATTATATTGCTTCGCACCACTGTTCCAAGATAAACTTTTCTTGGAGACTGCATTCAGATAAGACGAATGATAATAAGTCACGGGTGCAGTGCTACCTTCATACTTAGACCTTATGACATACTTTGTATAAATAATTGTTATCTCCTGATTACTTAACTATTGCATGACATCATAATTTAAATTATACATCCTAGTCCTGAGCGAGCTAAAAATTTGGAAAGTAAATCACATTTTGCAAATACTTGATACATTTGAAAAAAAAGTAATGCGTCTCAATGTTATGTAGTTATGCAATACTTATGAAATAATTTGAAAAATCTGAAAAAGTTTAATAAGTGCGATTGATGAACGGAGTGATATTTCTTAATGAAATATGAGATGAGTTTTTCACTACCAAGACTCTACTTCGCTTTTGCTCCGACTAAAATTAAGTAAAAAAATATTTTCTTATCTACATATTTATCATAATTTTCAGAGCCGCTTTTGTAATTAATCGCAGGTGGAATACTATTTACATTTTAAAAATTTTCGTTGCTTGCATTAAAAATATCTATGACTGAATATCTTATATAATGACGTGCAAAAGAGCTAGGAAAAAAAACAATGTTTAACGCGTATAAATCCAGTGCTGATTAGAAATTTGATGAAAACGAATTCGCTGTGACGAATCGGCGATAGCGATTTCGATCGACATCGCCAACCAATAAAAATGACGAACAATAACTATTACTTTCCAAGGTAACTTTTCATCGTATACTTCGCAGGACACTCTACCCGGCGGCTGCAATAAAATACGTCTCTCATATAAGGTCAGAATTTATCCTTCTATAGTCCAGGTTTCTAGGTCGTTGCGGGCGGCCTCCGATCTAACGGTCAACTATTACGCAAATTGCCGTATCTCCAGTAACATCTTTCATTATGCGGAACGATGAAATTGAAGTATTATTACATTACGTACGCGATTCTCCCGAGGAGTAGCGCAAGCGTGACATCATGCTCATATGCATAGATTAGATTCATGTGATGGCGGTGCCAACAGCTTTTCGCTTTTTTTGCAAAATAATCGGATCGTTACGACCGTTTACTCGCCTTCAGACAACAATTTTAACACATTAGAAATCATAAAAATATGACAAATTTTTTCGTGAAGTTGCATTTGCTTTAATTTTGTTTATTGATATAACAATTTTTAAATAATCAGTTTTCACCGATATTATAAAGTACATAATAATAATCACTGACCTGAAAAACCGCATTTTTATTTGTAACAAAATTTTGTCTTAAAAATAGAATATTGAATAATTAATTAAATTAATGGTTTTAAACTGTTATGATGCACGTGACTATACATTATCTCTGACGGAAATGAGCAATCAAAGCGAGAATCGTACATATATATCGTAACATAATTTAACGACGTTTCAAAAATCGTAGATAATCTTATCTCAGAATGATTTTTGTTTAATAAAACGATAATCTATAAATTCTGACAATCATAAGAGGTTTATTACAGAATATTCTATGAGAATATATGAGAAAGAAAAATTACTTTCCAAATTTAATGTCACATCGATCACTTATACAATTTGATTAAAAATCAAGCGTTCGAGATTCTCTTTGCATCAACACTTTTTGGAGACCTATATTTTATCAAAATTACTTTAAAAGTATCATTTCAATAATATAATAATATAGTATAATTATGGGGATATAAACATTTTTCGCGTATGTAAAACTGTCTACTGGATTATTATCAGCCGAGTGTCCCAAAGATATAGTGTGTTTTCTTTGAAAATTGCAATATGTCTTTCCCACAATGCTTACGTTCACATAAAACTAGTAATAACAAATTTAAAAAAACATTTATAATGGCAAGTCTTATTGAACTATATGACGTGCTGTAAAAATAAGTCTTCAACTAGGACAGCCACATATTAAACGTTATAAATTACGCTTCAATTTATAGCTACAATTTTTCACTTATTGTCACTCTAGACAACATAAGCTTTAAACATTAACTATACATATATTTTGCTTATCATGCTTTTAAATAATATGATACGAGAATATCGAACTC